CAGTACAGTACAGTACAGTATGAAGAGAGAGGACGCTGACCTTGGTCGAGGTGACTTCTGGCATGGAGGACAGGAAGGCGGGTGGGGAGGCGGTTTTTGTTTGGAGGGAGAGTCCCCCTCCCTACAGGAAGCCACAACCACGTGTCACAGCAGGGAAAATGGCCGTGGATCCTGTTCGTCACCCAATGTGGAGTTCGCGAACGGAAGCAAAATTTTGCGAACGGTGCTGTTCGTGACCCGAATTGGCCGTGAACAGAAGCGTTCGTGACCTGAGGTACCACTGTATTTAAATAAGCTCAGAGCAGTAACAGGTAGAATTCTATGAGAAGAAATGTAATGGGAAAAGGAGTCTAAGGCAGGTGAGGAAAAAAGACACTAAAACCACAACTACACTTCCCATTCAAAAGAAATTAAATTGTTGCATTCTGATTCTGGAATCTCTGCTGACTGTGAAAGTGGGACTGTATGTATATAAGGTGAGGTGAAATAACAAACCGTCACCAACTCTTTAGCATAAAAGTGAGCAATATAGGTTTAATGTTCCTTTGATCACTGACTTGGTTCTCCTAACAATGCAGATAAATCTTTAAGAAATATTTATAATTCCTGTTTAAACATCCACCAACCCTTAGCTGGTTCATGAGAGATAATCAAAAGGTAATATTTCATTCTGTATAAACTAATAATCATATTTACCAGCCAATTTCACACCCAACACCATGTCCCTAATTATCTCATGTACATTAATCCTGTAATCACTTTGGTGGTTTTTTTTTAATGTCATATGATCATCTTAATTCTAAGACTTGCTTTTCCAATATATCTTGTAGCTCTTTGTTCTTCTGCATATCATTTGAGAACATTACTGATGGATGTTCTTGACTCATTTGAGATGTTGGAGAACAAAATAACAAAAGCTTAAATTGCCACTGCATTGAGTTTCTTCTATATATAATTCCATTATCACCCCTCAGATCAAAAGAATGTGGAGCAACTTGCATTAGTATATTTCTTTTTTCCATGTGTACATACATTTCCATTATACAACTCCCTTTTGGGATAAGCAACATTATACCAACTTTAGGAAAAGAGTGAGCAAGGGTAAGCAAAATAAATTAAAGGCAGAAAATTGGAAAAAGGAAAAGAACATCTAACTAAATCAGCTTTACACTTACATCATTTGTTATTTATTTGTTTGTTTGTTTGTTTATTAAATTTCTCACCTGCCCATCTCCCC